CACTTATCTCCTTTCCTCGCAAGAACACAAGAAATTCTTTCATCCTTCCCTTCAAAATTTTCGAGGATTGAGTGTGTATCAAGGAGGTTCTTTCAAGTTTCCAGTAACTTGGTAAGCTATTATCACTCTCAAGATGTTTTGTTTCCATTTTACACTAACATCATTCCTTAACAGCACCATTTTTGTGTTGTGCTTCCTAGGATCATCCTAGTTTTGAAAAATCCCTTCAAAAGAGCTAGCTATGCCGAAAATCTCCTTCTCTTTTCTCTTCAAAACCGATCAAACCTCAAGGTGAGCTTCTTACCCCTCTTTTTCGTGATTTACTATCTTTTGGGGGAGAATACAAGCAAGTCTTGTGTTTAATCTAAGTATTTATGCATGCATGTGTATATTTTTCATGACATGTTGTGTGAATATGTTATGAAAATATGTTAAACACTCATAAACTCGAAATATCTTCCAAGTTTTGAAGATATTAGGACACAAGTTACTTTATGTAACTCACTATGATGTTTGAAAAGATTAAACATGTTAAAAGTTACTAGAAAACTAAAGAAAATATAGAAATAGGCCATACTTGACCATCAAGATAAAGAAAATGGGCTCTTATTGTCATCTTGGGTTTTAATGGGCCAAAAGTGTCATTTTTCATAAAAATGGGCTTTATTTGACAACTCACGGTTTTATGGGCCAAAAGTGTCATTTTTGATAAAAATGGGCTTTATTGACAACTCACTGTTTATTGGGCCTAAAGTGTCAAATTTGATAAAAATGGGCTTTATTTGACAACTCACGGATTTATGGGCCAAAAGTGTCATTTTTCATAAAAATGGGCCTTATTTGACAACTCACGGTTTATTTGGCCTAAATTGAAAACTCACGGTTTATTGGGCCTAAAGTGTCAAATTTGATAAAAATGGGCTTTATTTGAGAACTCACGATTTTATGGGCGAAAAATGTCAGTTTCGGTATTGTTGGGTCAAAATGGGAATTTTTTATAAAAGTGGGCCCTTTTATGTCATTTTTGGTATTATTTGGGCTAAAACGATTATTTTTATACAAATAGACTCTTTACGACATTTTTATCAAATTGGGCCTCACATAACAGAACTTTATATAAATTGGGCCTTATATGCCCATTTACATTCTTATTGGGCCACATATGATAATTTTATTCAAATTGGGCCCTTTTCTTGACAAATTCTATGTTAATCGGGCCGCTAGTGAAAATTCTAATACACTCGAATCATTCACGATACTTTAGGGTAACGATGAGTTATCCACGATAACAATAGATATTTTGACACTTTGGATAAAAACAATCATATTTCTATCACAAATGGTTTATAGTCAAAATACACACTCGAAACATTATTTAAAGCGTTAAATAATGAGATACACTATTCACGGAAATTTAGTTAAGGCTCTCGTTGGACACTCATTCACTCGTACCTACCTAGTGTACACAGTATGTCCTATAGTTATAACTAGTCTCCTGGAGGGAGAGCGAGAGTTTGTGTATAGATCTATACGGGGTTGACACCACACACCTGAGCTGTTCGCTACAGCTAGATGAGGCCAGTCTAGGGTGACAAATATATTACCTAAACTGACGCCTGAAGAACGTCATGACAGGCATATCAGTCACATCAATCATGGTTATAACGACTCACATAGAGAATAACGACACAATAAATTTAGGGAATACACATACTCTACTCGTGTTACGAAGAACGAAACTATACAATCACTATTTAACATTTAATTCCACCACTTGAGTCTTAGGGTTTGATACCACCACTCTTTTATAAACATAAAATATTGGATTTTCTGGGAAATATACACTACTCACTACAGTTTTCATACAACAGAAAATATAGGATTTTCTGGGAATCTCTCTTTATACCCTGTCAAACAAGAACACACATGCTTTAATACAAGATTTGAAACAAAACTCTTAAACTATTTTTACGGAAAATATCGGATTTTCTTGTGTTTACAAACTGTTACAAGACTTTTCATACAAACGTGCTTATGAGCTCACCAACATTTTATATGTTGACATTTTTCAAAATAACATGTGTATTCTCAAGGACTCGTTAAGCAGGTTGACCGCTAAAGAATGTGGATGTTTATTGTATTTTTGCATTCATCATACATTTGATATTTTGGGATGTAATTTGTAAACAAACATATTGATGTAAACCAGGTACGTTGTATTATTGAATGTATGGTGATGATGTTGTCTATGATTCATTTATATACACTGTGATGATATTACAAGATGAAGTCACCCGCCCCGAACGTTTCCGCCGTTTGGTTCGGGGGTGTGACAGCAGAGCCGCTGCCATTTATTTGGCTGAAAAAGGTGGGAATAGGGTTTATTTGGTTTAGAGTTCGAGTTCTTTGTGTAGCTGAGATATTGTCGTTGTTTTTTCCAGTGCTACCACCTTTGACGACAAGCTCGATTTGGCTGTAAATCTTTTTTAATGGTGGGTTGAAGCCGATTGGGTTTTCTATTCAGGTTACTGATCTTTCTTACAATCAGATTTCAAGGGGGAAACCAAATGTTATTAAGTGGATCCTATCAAATGGGTGTCGTGAGCTTCGATAATTTTCTGTAAAGAAATAATTTTGAAGAACATACGATTTCATAATCATTTTTTGGGTTTTTTTTGGTGTTTCAGATTCATAGGATTTTTTGTGTGTTTAGTTCCAGAAATGTTTATGAGTGTGTTTGTTTTGTATGTGTGTATGTTTTTTTTTTGAAGAACATTAGAAATTATGGTGTGTTTTGGATTGTGTTCTTGGTAGGGGGAGAGAGACAGAGAGAGAGACAGAGAGAGAGCGATTTATTAATTTTTTTATTCATAAAAATATTTAAATAAATAAAAAACTGAAAAAACAAAAAAACAAGGATAAAATCGTCATTATAAAAAAAGTTTAAAGTAAATTGGACCAAATTTGCAACAAAATGAAAACTTAAGTAAATTGGATTAAACTTACAACAAAATAAAAACTTTGGATCTCATGGTTCTAATCCAAACCTTTTTGGACCAAAATAACAATTTTCAACTAACATTCATGCAGTTTAGTCTAAGGAATAAGTTAAAACTCGTAAATGGTTGTTATTAATCGATTGAAAATTAAGAGGTTTTAAGGTTTTTAAAATGAATATGTTGCACGCATGACATATATTAAACCATATTTAAATGTCTTATTTCTAAATTTCTAAAAATAAGACTTTGATTTTGGTTAACTGCAAATTTGGTCCCTGTGGTATTCAAAAAACTTTGGATAGGATCCAAAAAGTTTTCAACTTACATGGAAGATCCAAAATCAAGGTTTTATCGGTTTTTGGTAAAAAAAAACTTAAAAAGACCGTTATGCCCTTTTAATTACTTTTTTCCTTTTTTTATAAGAGTTTAATGCTATTTTGATTTTAAAAAAAAATAAAAAATTTCCACCCCGACCCCCACCGTACCCTCTCTTTCTATCCCTCTCTCTCTCTCTCTCTGACTCTTTCTCTCTCCTTCTCTTTCTCTTTCTTTTTCCATCTTCTTCTTCCTCATTTATCAAATCAGGAAGAAAACCCAAATGTTTTGCTACTTGGCGAGCAAATTATACGCACAAGGAGACCCCAAAAAACCAGGTTCTTCAATTTTTTTTGCCCAGCTTCAAAAAACCACATTTATGTTCTTCAAGATCAAACACACAGTCACACACATACACTTCACCTTTGAATCTCGAGCTTCAGTTTAGTTTTTTATCCCCATCTCTCTCTCTCTCTCACGTGTTTCTCCCTAGCCCTATATCGATTTTCCCTATTCTCTGATATTGTAATCGCAGGTGAGTGGTGTTCCCTCATTTTCAGTTCCAACTCACTAACACGTATTCATCCGTATGCACTTCCAAGTGACAATTCAAGAATCATACACCTGGATTATTTGTTCGAGACCGAATAGAAACCCAACTACCAGAAGGCACACCAATCGTATTCTTTCAAGAGGGTCAATAAGGTTAAACTTCTTCTGATCTATCTTTAATGGCTGCAATACCGATTGAAATTTTGGTTTATGGGTGGCTCTCCCTTCCCAAAGTTCTCCAACTCAATGGCTTAAAAAAACAGAGGATTCACTACAACTTCATCTTTATTAGATGCATATTGATTTGTCACCCAAAAACAAAACAATTGGTGTTGTAGTTGGATGTATGATTTTAGAAATGCAAAAATGAGCCTGTGTTTTAGTTGTTGGAAGAAATCATGATGCTTCTTTAGTCCAATTAATCAGATTCTTGGAATTGGACATGGCATCTAGTGTGGTTTGTGTGAACTGATTCATCTGGTTTTTTTCTTTTGAGTTTGTCTTACTCAACATTCAATTTGTAATTTTGTGGGGGGTTTTTTGGTTTGAATTAAGGTTCAATCTGTAGGTTTATTTGTTGGTGTTTCTGTTCTAGTCCTTGCCAAATGGTGTTCATTGAGTTCTTGGTCGAAATTGGATCGGAGAAAATAAGATCTTCAGATGAAGAAGACAGTCGGCCAGAGGAAAGGAAATAGAGTGTGGGAAGGGTGGCCTAAAGAATTGAGAGAGAGAGAGAGAGAGAGAGGGGTTGGGTGTGATTTTATTTTTTATTTTTAATTATTTAAATACCAAAATAAATAAAGAAAATAGAAAAAAGAAAATGAAAATGGTAAAATCGACTTTTCAAGTGTATCAATAACCAAAAACCCAAAAAAAAACCTTGATTTTCGACTTTCCATGCAAGTTGAAAACTTTTTGGATCCTATCCAAAGTTTTTTAAGTTTTTTGAATACCACCGAATTTGCAGTTTTGTCGTTTTGTTTTCCAAAACAAATCAATTTATAGCCATAAATTTTCGTTTTTTCAATTTTTTACTTAGGTTTAAGTTTTTCTGCACACAACGCATACGTCAGCTTTTCAATATTTGAACATTTTCTCCAAATAAAACAAACTCCATCAATAATAGATAAAGAGCATCTAACATATATAACTACGAAATTTCCATTGTTTCCAAAATATTTCCAAGACACGTCTTCAAATTGTGATAATATCAAAACAACACAAAACGCTAAATTATGTTCCTAATTTGCTACGCAGATTCCAACCTCACAACAGCCCATTTGTCTTCTCCGATGGGTAGCACAACATTTCCCTTAGGCAAAACAGTAACAGGAATGGATGTGTACACTCTCACCTCGTTGCATAACAAGTAACTCTCCATAGACTTGTTCTCATCACCCTCTTCGATCGACGAATGAGACTGATCAAGAGGTGTCGCCGTCGTTGCCACCGTCACCGACGTCATATTCTCTTCCGGCGAAACGAGCAGACCAGCCTCACCGGTCTTGCTTACGTCACCTGAACCAGAACAAAAAGAGTCTGTAGGATAACCATTATGCCCAAATTAACTCATATTTATCTATAAATCAAAACATATACCAACAATCCCTTTCAAAAAATGTATATACAAATCGAACGATTAGAGATTGAAAAGAAAACGATGATGGAGAAATGAAAGGGCGTACAAGAAGACGTAGTGAAGTGAGTGAAAGCGACTTCGGCTGCATCGTTTCCGGCGGATTTGGAAGATTTGAGGAAGGATCGAGAAGCAAAAGTGACTCCATTGACGACGACTGAAGCTTTGAAAAGTGGGTTGTGGTCTTTGCCGTCTTTTTTGCAGGAATAAGCTGGTTTTTGCCATCCGTTCTTCTGGCATAATTCGTAGAGCTTACACTTGTACATTGTTGATTGTTCTTCTAAAACTTCAATTCTTCAAACTTATGTGTGTGTGTGTTTAAAGGAAGGAGACTGTGTGTAGAAATGAAGGGGAGAGGACTAGGTGTAGATTTTAGAGAGAGGGGCGGGGGGACGCCATTGGAGCAGGTTTCATCATTGCGTCTCACGTGGTGTACGGATGAACTTCCAATTCACGGCAACGTATCCTCTGCCTGCCTTTTTGGAATGTTTGACCAATGAATAGAATTAGAAATTAGAAATTTATAGGTTTATTGGATATTAAGGATTTTTTTTATAGGCCTACAAGCCCAAAACTTGATCCCATAACTTAGTCCAATCAAATTTGGCCCTTAGCCCATGAATTCTCGGCCCAAAGCCCCTTTTGGACCAAGACTTCTCCTTTGGGCCTTATTCGGCCGATATCTCTTCAATGGATCTTGTGAAACCGAAAACCGCAATTGGGCCCTTATTGGGCCAAAAGTTCTCATTTAAATTCCATAAACTCATACTTGGGCTCTATTTCGGGCCGAAAACCCCGTAATAGGGCCAATAATCTTCCTAGAACATTTGTGGGCTGAAAACTTCTTTGGGCCAAGTTAAGTTCGAAGCTCATTATTCTTTTGGGCCATCATGTGGGCCGAGAACCCCTCCAAACTCGGTTAGCCCACTTTCAAAAAAAAAGTTCCTAATTAGTTGTCACGTCAAAATTACACAACAAATATCAAAGTCATTACATCTCATACATCTAGGAAGGAAGAATTGTCCAACATGTAACAATGCATCCATTCCTTCCCCCTCTTCCCTTAAACTCGGCCAAACCACCACCATCCTCTCTCCACTCTTCGCTTCTAACTTACTTCCTTATCTCATTCTCTCTCTCTCTCTCAAAAAAAAAAAAAAAACTTTCTCATTTCTTCTTCAAAAATCGTGAGTTGTGTGTGTGTTTTCAAGAGGATTTTCTTCAAGTTTCATCCCTTGGTAAGTTTATGACAAACTCTTTTGCTTTGTTCCAAGTTTGTGTTAAAGATCTTTCACTTACTCCCTCATTTTCGTAAATATGGATCTTAAAGCAACCACCATTTCGAGATCTCTCCAAGAACCCAAGCTAGGTTCAAAGTTTCATCTTCTTCGTCATCTACATCTTGAAAACCCCAAGGTGAGCTTCATACCCCACTATTTTTAATGTTTTCATACTCTTTGGGGGGGAATGCAAGTTAAAGTTTCGGTTAACCATTGGATAATTGCATGGACCATTGTGTTGTGTGTTTAATTTTTGGGTTTTTACTTGAACATGAAGTTTATCACATAGATCTTCATAAAAATCATGAGAAAAGTGTTGTTAACATATATATTGCTTAAAAATTGTAAATATGGGGTTATACACTCCAAAAGTAGCAAAAAATGAGTCTTGTGTGCAAACATGTGTAACATAAACTTAATCCCCAGCCTTCCACTGGAAAAGTTATAGTCCATTTACAGACTGTTTTGACCACCTTGAATGTAATAATTTTCAAAACTGTTTTACATGAAAATAGTTCAGGTTTATACCTTTATAATGACTACCCTCACGTGTTCATACGATTTTTCTATAATTTTTGGCGATTTTTACAAAACTGCCTATCATTTCATGAAGAATCTCGGACCAGCCTGTTAAGATGAATATTTTCACACAGGTTCGAGGCCATTAAAAATTATGAGAAAAACTGTGAACAAAGTAGACTCAATTTCCAAACTCCCAGAGTATACGGATCCAAATTTCGACTTACGATGATTTTTCTATAATTTTTCTAAAAACAGGGACAGAAAATTCAAAAACTAGAAAATTGTTTTAACATACTAAAAGTGTTTATACTTGTGTTTAGATGTAAGTTTAAAGGTTGTAATCTTTTGAAGACACCCATACATGATAACTTGCATATGCTTATATATTTGATTATATCCATAGTTTTCAATCACACTAGATGCACTCAAGTCGTTTTGCAAGTAAAACAGAACTATAGTTCACGTAAATCTGTTAAGGCTCTTCTGAGACTCTCCTTTAGTCGTACCTACCTAGCGTACGCGGTAAGTCCTGTTAGTTATTGTTGGGTTTTGAGCACTACATCATTCCTATGGTGTACATGCAAACCCTAAAGCTTTGGATCTAGTTTGTCTAATGAACACGCAATAATCATCCAAAGCAATAAACCCTAGATCTAGCATACAATAATCAAATTAACATATGAATTAGGGTTTAGATCTTACATTGATTGTTATGTAGTAATAACAATATCAATTCCTCCTTGTAATTGACTCCTGAAAGCTTAGTGTCACAAGTGTCACACCTCTAATGGCTCATAAACACCAAGAGCAAGAGGATGACTTAGGAGAAGAGAATGAGGCACCAAAAAAGCGTCCAAGAACCCTTATGGATTCCTTCCACACGTTTTTAGGGCCTTAGGGGTTCCCTATATAGTGAGGCTATTAGGGTTTTGAACTAGGAAACCCTAATCTGACTGCTTAGGCTCTAAGCAGCCCATGGACTCCCTCCTTAGAATCCTTGGACGAATTCTAATGGGTTTTCCCATAGATTTCGTCCACTCCAATCTTCTATGGAGTCCATTAGCCCAATATTCAACTATCACACAATTGACAGTTCTAGTCCCCTTTATTTAATTAATGTCTTTTAGCCACGAAATTAATTCTTAATTAATTCCTGTCTAATATTAATTAAACAATATGATTTCTACTTTAATATATTATTCATATAATATATTAATAAATCATAATTAATCTCTTTCTCCACAAATCATCCTATCAAGTTGCTTTGGTGAAGGCAACCCAAAAGGACCATGCTCACAATCGGGTCAAGTACATACCAAAATAGTTTTGGGCTTAGACACCTAATCCAACAGTCTCCCACTTGGATAAGTCTAATAACTATTTTTACAGATACGACTTCGGAACCTGATCAGCAATCGTAGCTTTCAAAAGCCGCTGTCGAACTCTGATCTTATCAGTAACACGTCCTTTAGATAAGGGATAATATATTCCTCCATTCTAGATATGATATGAACTGAGACATGGATTTTATTCATACTCTCTGTTCATATGTTGTTTCCCGATTTCTGATTTATGACGGCTGACAACAGACTATAGTTGAACACATCAACTTAGTCCAGGCTTGGCCAAGCGCTTAGGGTATCATCACTAAATCATCGAGGCCCACATATATCGCTTTGATCCCACTTTGGGTAAAAGGAACGGATAAACTTTGACTCAATGCTCGCTTGTACCTACTCATCAAATCACACACAACAATATGTTTTATAACACCAAAACCTACTGGTGCGTTTACATATTATCAATGTGCAACCAACTTGTAAATTACAACTCACACGTCTCGGTTTCAAGAATATAAGATATTATCGTCTCACCAATCACTCGTGATAAAATCCATGAAGCGATCCAAGTGAGCGTGGGTTTAATCCAATGCTCAAATCTTAATTCATAAGCACTTATGAAAGTTGTAGCAAACTTTTGCTATGTTTAATACACTTTAGACAATCTACAAACCAATTCATGACAATCTTCTTTCATACCTACTCCCAAAGTATGAGCGACTGTGGAACGTTTAAATAATCTTATTATTCGGGAAGTCAAAACATGCAAAGTGAAACACAAGAATAATCGAATCCAATATGGCCCAAACTTTTGAGTATAAATAAAACTCCTTTTATTTAGTCACCATATTGATTGCACATTATTCATTGTATAATGTTTCGGATAATCAACTTATTACTTGAATTATAACAGTAGTTGTCCCATGCACCAAGCATGCACACTCTGTTTACCTATGGTCCATACTTTGTGAAATAGATCAATTGAAAACATTTCCAATGATGCTTATTTCACAACTCCTAATCCTTATCGTTAGTGTAAGAACACAAAATTCTCGCCACTACTAGAATATGTTAGATTCTAACATTTTATGCAATGATCCTTTTGTAATCTTATTGCACAAAAGTCACCAAGACTTTTCCAATGCAATTACAATGTATTCTATGAAGTCTCACATTCAAAGTACATTCCTTTTAACATCCTTCTTGCATAAAAGTTTCTAATCTAGACATGGATTCTCAATATCTAACTCCCAATATGGAAACATTTCCATATTTGCCATACGACAACTCGTTATTAATCATATCATAATAATGCCATTATGGTCCATTCATTACTTTACTTCCAACTGCTCACAAACGGCCAATCCTTAGCGAACCTTAGATTGTCCTTGACAGTTGTTTAATTATTTTAGTCAAATCCGGTTCTAGTCCTTTTTCCCTCTTGATGCCCTAGGCATTTGGAAAATTTTTAGAACAGTCAAATATTACAACATATGTAATTGAACCTATACCCGAAGCGTATGGGACACGATTCATAATGTCTTTGTTGGGTCTAAGAGTTGCGCCATAGGGCCTGTTTCTTCAGTCCATTGTTATCACGGTTTGGGCCTGTCCAGCCGTGTTTATGTCATTAGGGTTTAGCATATAAGATGAATGCATGCATCGTTCTCTATACGCTTTTGGTTAATTATTCTTTTCATCGTACTGTAACCCTAGCACACCTCTACAGTAGAAGTTCTTTGTCGAGCTCTTCTGAGGTGGAGCATATTAATCATTCAGCTCTTGTTTGATTCATCGTGTGTTCATTGCTTTTAGTGTGTTTGTCTAAATCTGTTACGAATCTAAACGATCTTAGAGAACTTAATTCTCATCAATTGGTATCAGAGCAAGAGACTGTGTAATTCATACGCATCTATTCTGTTGGAAGAATCTCTTTAGGGTTTCCGCTTTTGTTAAAATCGTTGAAGCCGTCATCTCATTATTGACGTAGTTCCACGTTTTTAATAAAACCCTAATTCAACCTTACAAGTCTGGTTCTTGATAGATATTCAAAATAGGTCATCATGTCTCACGAAAATTCACAAACAAACCTGATCAACATATCCAACAGCATCGGATCTACTATGAGAATTCCAATTTTATACACTCAAGATTATGAAGTATGGACGCATCACTTTGAAGACTATGTTCTTGGTTCAAAGGATAACGGGTATCTAATCTGGGAAGCTATCACCTTGGGTCCGTTTGCTCACACTGGAACTAATAGAGTTATCACAACTCAAAAGGAGTACAATCAGCTGATGATCGACGTAGAGAAAGTTCCTCAAGATGAGAAGGATAGACTGATGA